GAGGTGGCCCGCGTGATTGCGACGTTCACTCTGTTGGGGTTGTCCATGAAGCCCCAGTCGTGCCAAAAATTGAAACGCGTGGTCCGGTAGATCACGATGCCAGCCTCTCCACCCTGGCTGGAGTCGGCGGTGGAGATGCTGAGCCTGCCGTTGGCCAGGTACTCCTCAGCTACCTGACGCATCCCTTGGAAGCGTAGGTCGGCGCCATTGAGGGGGGAACTCCATTGCTCGAACACCCGTTCGTAGCCTCTGTGATCGCTGTCGCGTGCGTGGGGGTGAGAGGGGGGGTCGCTCGCATCGAGTGCCTCCGCTTTGCCAGCTCTTTTCTCCCTGGTCTTAGCCTGTCCCAGGGTGCCGCTGATGCTGCGCCCTGACTCGGGCCGCCCATTCTCGAGCACCGCACACTGCAATTGATAGCCAACCACTACGAGGACTGTGGTCCCCCTTCTCGTGGCGGGCAAGAGTGCCCTCACTATATCCACCGTCTGAGCAGCCTCTGGAATATTTGCGCATCCTGAGTGGAGGTTGGACGAGACCTCGAGAGAGAGGTTGTCGACCAGGAGGAAACGATGTCTCTCCTCTGGGTGCTGCGGTGGTGGCGTTGGCCAGTGCGGCGAGCTTGTCCCATGGTAGTATCTGCTGCCACGGCAGTCCTTCCACTATAGTGGCCTCTGTGTCCGTGGGTCGGAGAGCCCTGTCCGCATCGCCTTGTTGTAGAAGACCACGTTGGGCCATGACAGGAGGGGGCGCATGCGGTAGCAGAGGGTCAGTTGCACCACTGCCGAGGTATCCCCACCTAGCGCATTGTGTAGCCGGTCGAATATCGAAAGGCACAGGCCGCGGTCAGCGGCTTTCCTGGAGAGGACGGTGGGGGGAAGCTGCTTGGGGTCGCCGACCAGCAGTAGGTGTCCGCCAGAACGTATGACGCTGACAAGGGACATTGCCGCCATTAGCTCGCGGGCCTGCCCAGCTTCGTCAAAGATGAGCAGGGCGGCCGGGGAGGCAAGCTTGAGGGGCTCTGCCACCTCGTGGGTTGCGATGATCATCTTGGCGTCCCTTAGTAGCTGTGAGCGGAAGGCGAGGAGCTCCTTGGAAGGACCGCTCTGGTGGGGGGGACGGTTGTGGGTTCTGAGGATACGCCCGCTCGTTGACGGGAGTGACCGACACATCCAGGGCACAGCTCTTCTTACGTGCAAGGTCTGTCCTGGCCTTTGCCGATCCGTCCCATACTGTCTCCGTGGCAGCCATGCACTCAGTCCACGCTAACCTGGACAAAATGCAGCCCCTCTGCCGCAGATCCTGCCCCCAATGCTTTGGCAGATTCACCCCCCCAGGGGCCGGTCCCAGCGGGGTGCGCAGACGGAACTGAGCCCCAGGGCTGTCTGCGGGCACGGCGAACAGCTGCATTATCCCCTTGGCTGCTGCATCTGCTGGGGGGTCTGGTGCTGTCCGACAGGCATGGGGGGGTGCGTCGCTTGCCCAGTTGGTCTCGTCACCTCGCGGCTGTCCTGTCCGATCTGTTGGGTCTTGTGAAGATGCCCGACTGGAGCCAGTGTGTCTCTCCCTCTGGGCCAGGGGGGCGAGCGGCCCACCTGTGCCCGGGCGAGGGGGGAGCGGGCCGGTGCCCCCCCAGGCCCCTGTGGCGCGCCATGGGGTGGCCCCCCATCCACGTCGGTATAAGGGCTGGGCGGCCGGAAGTCGGACGAGGGCATGGCGTCGGCGGAAATGGAGAAGTCGAACTCGTCGTCGCGAAAAGGGAAGTCGACCGGTACATAGTCCCAGTCCTCTGGGAAGGTCCAGCCTGGTAGGCGTATACGGCTGCCGTCCATGACTGGGCCGGGGAGCTCCCATCCTGGCCACGTTGGTCTCTCAATTTTGTGCCCTGTGACGCTGTCTGTGGTACCTCCTTGCGTCCTGGTCCAGAGATTGCCTTGCTGGGTGTAGGTCAGGTCCTGGGATCCGGCCGCCCGGCCCCCTTCTGCTTCGCAGCCTCTCTGAAGTGGTCTTCACCCAGTAGGCGTTCCTTGCCGTCGCAGTACCTCTGGCAGATCTCGCACCACCAGCACCACTCCTGGTTGAAATGCGCCCATCTCAGCCACGGGAATTCACAAGCACGGAAGGGCTTGAGCGAGCCTTTCGCGCAGGGACCCTGTGCGCGGTGCTGTGTCGGGGACTGCCATCTGGCCAGGGGTCCGCAATTGTTCTTCCTCTTCGGCATCCAGCCGCAGCGCAGGGAGGAAGCGCAGCCGATAGCTGCGGAAACGGTGACATGTATGCGGGGGGAAATGCTTGAGCCACCGCTACGGGTACTCAGATGCTGCGGCAATCCGGCACACGTCGATCAGAACGAGGCGGGCCAGGGGGGGGGGCCGAGGGAGGGCGCATGAGCAGGTGAGCAGCTTCTGCTGCCGCAATAGGGTCGCAAAGGTTGGTCTCCCTAGGGTTGATGCTGGGAAAGTGCACCGGGATGTTGGGGTGGTGGGGGGGGGGGTACCATTCCACTGTATGAAGGAGGTGACGGCGGTAGCGCCATCCCTGCGGAGGGAGTCTGCCCAGTGCACTCCGATGGTGGCCAGGCTGTCAGCAGCCTTATTCAGTCTGCGTCTGACGGCCTGCCACGCGAGGACCCAACCAGCCCCTTCGACTTGACCCAATGCGCCCTCCATCTGTTGAGCCAGGTGGAGCCTTCGGTATCTGGCTGTGCCAGCGCCGCACCTTGCAGCTGCTAGGTTATCACCCACAATCCGTGCCACGCGGGTTGGGCTATCGAGGTGGGGGGGCGGTGCGAGCCCGGCGCGGCAGCCTACAACCTCAGCCATCTGAGCATTGTTGCAGTCCGGGAGCGCAACAATGGTAATGGCAAGCACCCGGGGCGCCCCAGTGCTGGGGTTGTGGCGCCAGAGGATGGCCCCGGCACCCGATGCCTTCTCGCCATCTCCAATGGTGCTCGCCCCTCCGTCGAAGGCGACTTCGTACGGCCACTGGGTGGAGTCTGAGTCGGGGAAGGGAGGGGTCGCGCACAGTGATTTCGTCGCCGGGCTCGAGCCTGGCGTTGGCCGCAAGCGTGGTGGTGTGGAGCAGACACCCCCTGCAGAAGATGGAGGACCAGCACGCCGTGGGGAAATTGTCAATCCTTGGGCAGGGGAACCAGCTTCTGCCCGGAGGCATCCATGCAGCTCCTGTGTGGGAGGACTGCAGCACAACTATTATGTCCTCTGGGTTGTAGTGTCTGTTGATGATCGGGAGCCTACGGATCTCGCCTCCTGCCCTGTCTGCGCGTCGATGCGAGCGGGGCCCGGCAGCCCCGCAGATCGCCCCAGCGGGGGGGGGGCAGGGGTTGCAAATGCGGCAAGTGTCACGCAGTACGGCCCACACGGCCGTCTCATCATGACCGTTAATCCTTGGGGGATCATTGCCCACGTGCTCCTCTTCATCGCTCTCCTCGCGGTGATCCGCGTCAGGGGTGGCCAGCCCGCGCGGGATGAGACTAGCCGCGCCGCCTGCTTCTAGGGGGGAGGCGGTGAGGTTGACACAGTATCTGAAGGAGATCTGGTGTATAATTTTGGCGAGCAGCGGCTGGTGTTCGCCCTCGCCGGTGATAGCCCGGGCCAGGGTCGGTGGGTCGCCAGGCCCCCGCATGGTGCACCAGACGAGGGCGGTCGCTGGACACCAGTGCCAGACGCGCTCGGTCGCGGCCTCTCCCAACCAACCCGCAGAGCGGGCAACGACCATGCGGCCCGAGTCTGACGGGCGGCCTCAAGCGCCCACCCGAGCTTACACATGCGTCAGCCTGGGCCCTCAAAGGGGGAGGGGGAGTGCCAGGGGGGAGTGTTCGCCAGAGGGCGAAGGAGTGTGGGCCGTTGCCGATGCATCTAGCACACCATGCTGCTCCCTCGTCGTTTGGGCCAGCGGTGATCCATGCTTTGCTGGCCGGCGCCCCGCAGGGGCACCTGTGGGGCACTCGCCCGTCGTTTCCTCTGCGTCTTGCCGGGCCCGGAAGCCGTTGCTGAGTATCCTCAACGCGTGGTGCGCAGTGGTGAAGGTGGCGCAGTGCCGCAGCAATTGCCACTCCTCTCCTCCGGAGGGCTGCAATATTCTCCCTTGGCTGGTGTTCTGGAGCCAGTCGCTGAAATGCTGGCTGTTCATCTGCAGGCCGCTGCGTAGGTAATCCTCTCGCATTGCCTGCCTTCCAGTAGGCGGGGTCGCTGCCTCGCAACGAGCAAGGCCTGCGCGGCTTTCCGTTCGGTGATCATCTTTGGTCGAGGGGGGGAACGCCTCGGGGGTCCTTGCTGCGCGGACACTCCAGTTCAGCAGCTTGTTCCATCTGATGCTCGCTCGTTTTCCGAAGGTACTGGGCCCCCAGAAGTCGCCGAGGGCGCAGGCTCTTGCGGCGACCGCGCGAGCCGTTGCAACCGGGCACCCGGGGGCGCCCTGCACTTGGAAGCGGATGCCCAGTCCAGTCAGAACTAAGTCGGGGACCCATGAGGCTCCGGCCAACCCAAGAGCCGCCCTTGGGTTGGCTGGCGGGGGCGCGCGAAGCGTCTAGAATTATCCAGGGGTGGGGGTCTGGACCCCCTCCCGTTTTGGGAGTGCGTGGGGCGATTTGAACCCCCTCGCTCCTACGAGCAGCGTTAGAAAGCGTTAAATGGAGGATGGTGAGAGGCATGCATTGAAGGCGTGCTGATAGCGGCCTCGCGCACTCCTCTGGCCGATGTTGCTTCGACGATGCTCTCTGATGATGCAAATTGCCCCCGGTTCTACTGGGGCGCGCGAAAATACAGATGCTCCGAGGGATGTGAAGGCTTCAGTTCGACCCACACACACAGACGCACGCACGCACGCACGCACGCACGCACGCACGCGCGCGCGCACGCACGCACGCACGCACGCACGCACACACACACGCACACACACACACAGACACACAGACACATGCACACACATATATATATATATATATATATATATATAAGTATATATGTATATATTCACACACACACACACACACCTACCTTACGCAGTACTTGCTCCACATTCCTGGGACACGTTGCTCGTACAGATCGGTCTTGTCACACCTCAGGAGGAGGAGGCGGCCGCCTCGCCCGTCGCCGAAGTAGAAGTTGTACCCTGTATTTTAGGGCCACAGGGATGCCCGCCAGAGGAAGAGGTAGAAGTTGTTCCCTGCAGTTGCGGGCCACAGGAATCCTTTGCCATACCCTGCATCGACACACTCTCGTAGCAGTGGTCCAAAGAAGAATCGACCGAGCTGTGGTCCTCTTCGTCCGCGCAAGCGTCCACGAGATTCTCGGGCCTTATCTTCTCGGTGCCGTCGCAGCCAAAAAGCACCACATGCACACGCTCTTCATCCCCACCGCATACACGCACAGGCAGGAAATTGAATGCGTGCGACTTGAGGCTCACAGGATAAACCGTGGCCCCAAGCGAGAAGCCGCGGAACTCGTGTGTGACCGTCGGCGGTGGAGCAGGCGTCGGTGGTGAAGCAGGCGCCGTTGGTGGAGCAGGCGTCGGCACCCCCGTCGAAGGTGGCTCTGGCAGTTCAGGGCCTCCAGGAAGCCCGCCGGAGGAAGAGGAAGCCGGAGCAGGACCAGAAGACGAAATACCACAGCCCAAGAAGCGGGTGCCTTGTTTGCCGCAGGGGCCTGGGCCAGGCTCAGCCAAAACAGGAGCGTAAGGTAGCCCATTTTTGGCCTCCAACTCCGCACGTAGAACGCCAATCTCAGCTTGAAACGACTCGTACACTTTGCGGATAGGCTTCTCGACCGCCGCCAGCAAACCTGCGGCCATCCCAGTTCTGGATTCGGCCAGCTGCGTCTCGAAATCGTGCGAGAGGGCGCGAAGAACAGCCTCCAACTTGCCAGGCAACCGCTTGTCCAGAGAGGCCTCCACAGCAGATGCAAGAGACGACTGGAGAGTGGAAACATTCCTGTGGACATTCTGGATCTGAGCGGCGAAGTCCACCGCAGGAGCGACACCCGAGCGAAGCATCTCGACCTGACGGGTAAGAAGGGCAATGGTGTCATTCTGCGCCTCGACAAGAAGTTGGTGCTGCCTCAACGTTGACTCGAATTGAGAAGAAGAAATAATTGTGCGCGGAGCACCAGCAACAAATTCAGCTGCAATGGGGTTGAATTGAATAGGAGACGCTCCGACAACGTGCACCACATGATTAAGCTGAGGCGGCACATAACCCACCGAAGAAAGCCTGTCACGCTCGAGAGCATCAAATATTGAGATCTTCACGGGCTCGCAATCAAAAAACGAGTCCCGTTCCACCATAGCCTCCGGAGAGACAGCTGCCGTTCGTCTGAAGCCCCTGCGACGGCGCCACAGGTTGGGGAAGCGACGTAAGAACTGCGAGTGCTTGGCCAGGTTAGCAGCAGAGTTCACCCGCCGAAGGAGCGTCAGGAACCACACACTGACCACACCGTCCAGTGCAGTGATCGCGGCTGCGGTAGATGCAAACTCGGTGGACAGAGCACGAACAATGACGAAATGAATACAGATCTGCGCGATAGCCAGCGTGCAGCGAATCGCCAGAAACACCATGCAAGGAAGCAAGAGAAACAGAGACATCGGGAACTACATGAATTGCTAATTGCGTAGCGATCTTGGGCCAGCCTGGCTTGAGCCAAAATGGCTACGGAACACTCCTGGGACACGTGAAAACACGAGTGCTCTGTGCTCTCAGGCTCCTGCGACAAGAAAAAACACAAACGACGTTGGCCTCGAGACTCCAGGGAGACGCAACAACACAACAGCGGCTGGCCCTTCCGTTCTGATGGGAACTGCCATGCGGCACGCCTTTCACGCACGTCGTGCATCATGTGCGCTCCTTTTTGGTGATTTCAAAACTGCTCCGCAGAGCCTCAACTCGGCACACACCTCACGCATGCTGTGCTCCATGGACCTCCAATGGCGATCCGTTGGCCCTCGTGACGACCGAAGGGAGCTCTAACCCGGCACACCCATGAGGCACGTCGTGCCTCGTGGACTCCCAGGGACCCTCAGCTGACCCCTCAGGCGGTTCAGGGGGAGCTTCGAATCTGCACATTCCTCAAGCACTTCGTGGCCAATGGAACCCCCAAGGGACTTTTGCTGGCTCCTGAGACCGCCTGCCCCCACCTGAAGGGACGCCATGAGAAAAACTGCAACGAGTGGTACCGACCCACGTGTGAGACATGCCCCGAACGCATACTGATTACAAAACCTGCGTGCGAAGTTCGCTTGGGGGGGGGCACGACTCCCGCTCTGCGGGCTCATATCATGCAGTTGGCCCGGCGATAGTAAGATGTATGTACAGTGAGATCGTACTAAGTATGTATGTCGGACTGATGTCCATGATGCGAAGTACATTGACCTTACTATTGGTATTGCAAGCAAGCCGTGAGGTTGGTTACATTTGTTAGGACAGCAAAAATAATCACTATCATCAGCATCATCAACAGCAATCCACATGCAGATAGTGGAGCGAGGTGCTTGGCAGATGGCTCGTTACATTGTTAGCTGCAACATAACGCTAATTTTCGGGACAGGTGCGTGGCTCGATGGACAGGTGTGTACGTAGATTGCCAATACGAAGCGCAACCGATCACAAACCGAAAACTGCACCCACACGCATCTTTTCCTCATCCCCAGAAGACTGGTCTTTGGCGCGTCGAACCAAACTCTGTCGATCTGGAGATTCAGGAAACGGCTTGGCCATCTGGTCACTCAGAATCCCCAGGACAACCGCGGTACAAACTAGGGACGCAAAAGAGCAGCCCCGTCCCCACCTGGACCCCCCTCTCCAGAAGGGAGGGGCCCAGTTGGGCGGGACATAAGCTTTGAATCATTTTGCGAGACGTCCGTACAGTCGGGAGCCGAAGCTCTTTGGCATAACAGGGGATGCGTCGACCCCTATCCCAGGCTCCGTGAGGTTTTCGAGAGGATCAACAATTTGGGGCCCAACCCTGGGATATACGAGGGGGGGGCGTCCATCCTCGACAGGGGTGCGTCCGAATAGCCCCCTCGGGATGCATCCCAAGATTCCTCCCCTTTTCTGAGCGACCAAACTTTTCTGGCGGAAGTCGGGGATTGGGGGAGAGAAATCGCCTGCGATGGCAGAGCCCAGAAGGGGGAGGACGGCTAATTCGTGGTGGAAGTGCATTGGGCCCCCCCCCACGGACAAGAGCGCCACGAACGCCCGGGGCAACCGCAGGACAACGCCGAGACGACTGCGGGACAACCGCATGGGACAGCACCACGGGACCGTTACAACAAGACGGCCTGAAGGGGCACCGTCTCCATGGGGGATGAGAATAACATCGAAACAGCCGCCAGCTGAGGCCGGAGATCCCAGCACACCCGCGCAAGTTTCGCCTCGCCCACACACAGACACAGACACTAACACAGACACGCCAGGCGACGAGGCAGAACGAGTCAAAGCGGTGGGAGCAGACGCGCGCGGCCGGACACAAAGACACACGCACACACACAGACACACACACACACACGCAAACACTTGTTCACTCGGCAGAAGCGGTTCTCCGCAACACAGCGGTGGCAGTGGGCAAATGACCGTAGTGCGCTCGCACCCACACAGACACAGACAAACGACACAAAGCGAACCGAAATCGACGAATGGGCGGCTTCGCTTCGGTCTTTCCCAAAACCACCGATCTGGCTCTTCCAGACTATGCCTGTCTCCCCAATCGAACTGGCAATATTACACTCTACCTCCACCTGGCATAAAAATCAAGGTGTTATACATTTGCCGTTGACAATGTGTATAAACGTGAATGGATGTGTACACTTGTGTAGATACATACATATATATACATACATATATATATACATATATACATATGTATGTGTATGTCTGTGTATGTGCACCCCCCCGAGGCACCTCCACCTTGTTTTCACGCGCGTGGAATCCGTACCCAAGAGATCCTCACGAAATCTCCATGCTGAAGGAAGCCTTACTCAGGAATCCGTTCTCGGTAATACTTACGAAGTAACACTTACTACACAGATGCTTACACAAAGAAATCCTCTATAAAGGAATCCTTCATCATGAATCCTTCCTGGTGACATCCTTTCGAATGAGAGCCTTACTCAGGAACCCTCACAGAGGGCACCTTCACGAAATGCATCCTCGCTAAGGGCATGTGGGATGTGAACGACGGAATCCTTACTCAACACTTACTCGATCATCCTTACAGAACAAACACTTAACCAAGGAATCCTCACCGATGATACCTTACTACAAACTCTTACGATGATACCCTTCACAGAAGAAGAGCATCCTTCCTAAGACGTTGCCCAAGGCGCAAACAGGCGTTACTACATGCATCCTTACTGCGGATGATGCACAAAGGAACCCTTGCTACACTATCACGACTCAGGGGAAGCCTCACTGAGGGTTCCTTACTCGGGATTCCACACAACAGGGATCCGTACGCAAGGCACCATACTGACAAGCACCGTTATTGAGAAAAACGTACGAACAACCATCCTTACTAAGGAGCCCGTGCTGAACGAACCGTTGCGACAACAACCTTTACTAACGATTCCCTGCTAAAGAGTCTGTACTAAGAAACCGTGGCTGAAGGGGCCCTTGGGAATATGTACCGCATGATCATTGTCAAGACTTCATCAGCTCGTGCCCCTTCGTAAAAAACTCGTACAAGCAGAATACGTCGCTAGTGAGCCTGACTAACGGCATTCTTACTGAGACCCTTTTCCCTCGAAGACAGCGCAGCATGGAATAATATTCGGCGCCAGAACCAACATCAGAACAACAACCATAACCAAAGCCGTACCCAACCTAGGAGGAACCCAGGAGCCCTGCGTGCGTGTGAACGGTTTCCAGACGGCGCCGACGCACTACTGGAAAACGGCAAAACAGTCCAGGCCGACATCCATCCAGGAAGAATAATGCAAGTAACATAAAAAGGATGTGTGGGGGCACACACGCGCGCACAATATATAATACACGCACACAATCACATATACATATTCGTATACATATCCGCCTGCCTCGAGGACGCAATTATTGAGTAATGCACGTGGGCTTGTGGCCTCGGGAAAGCGAATGAATCGTATGTTACGAGGTTCATGGCCTCGGGAGCGCGAGTCTCGAGTATTGTTTACGTTTCCCACGGCCCCCCAGACATTCTGGAGACGTGACTCGGGCGGTGTAACCGGGCGGTTTGGAGCTTCCCCCCCTCGCGCGGGCAGTAACATTTTACTCTGGGAAGCAAAAAGTGAAGCGGTGGGAAGTGGAACCTGCAATTGGAGCAGGGGGGAACTGTCGCAAATTATGCAACATTCGCGTCGCACCCTCGCAAATTACGGCAGATTCGCACTGCCAAGGCCAAGAGTGCCCCAAGGCGCCCGAAGATGGTTCCAAGACTGCCCAAGAGGGCCCAAACAAGCCCCAAGAGCGCTCCACGAGGCCTCCCGAGAGAGCCCCAAGAGGCCAATATCGTATTGCACGAAAGTGTTTGAAGGATTCTGGCCTTCTCGCATTTTTAGTTTTCCGACGCTCCAAGACGGCTCAAGAAGCTCCCAAAACCGCCCCCAAACAACCCAAGACGCCTCCAAGAGGGCCCCAAGACGGCCCAAGAGGGCTCCAAGATTACCGAAAAAGCGCGCAAGACGGCCCAAGAGGGCCACACGACGGCCCCAAGAGGCCTCCAAGACGGCCCCAAGAGGGGCCCAAGCAAGGGACCACAAACAGAACATTCGATAGCCGTACCCCGAAAAGCCCCTCTGGAGGCCCCCAGAGGCCGTCAAGAGGCCCCAAGAGGTGCCCAAAACGCGCCCAAGAGACCTCCAAGAGGCCCACAAGATACACCACGAGGCTCCAAAAGGCCCCCAAGAAGCGCCCAAACCGTCTCCTAGAGGCCCCCGGGAGGCCCCCCACGACACCTCCACACCTAAACAAGAGGCCTCAGACCCACAACCCAGGCGCGGTGGCGGGATGGGCCGAAGGCCACTGGGAGAACGGCAAAGTCTCAGTATGCGCTGATGATGATTCCTATCCACCCCCGCATGTGATTCCCAGATGCGCCAAGGCAGCGCCGAGACTCACCGACGCGACTCTGATATATACCATTCTGATAGAGAAAGGGAGCCGGCGGCAGGGGGCCAAACCTTGCGGATATATATATATATATATATATATATATATATATATATATATATATATATATCCGTATCCATTTTGGCTCAAGCCATTCTGGCTCAAGCTGCTTCTGGCTTGGGTCATCCCGCCGGCCGAGCTCCCCGGGCCTGGCCTTCTCTGGTGCTTGAGCCGCCGCCATAGCGGTTGCCGCAGGCGCTGGGCGGAGAGATCTTGGGCCCTCGCACGCTGCGCTGCTGAGCTACCGCGTGCGAGAGGAGGCGCGTCGCGCCTCGCGGGGTGCGCGGCCACCACGGCGGCGCCCGTGTTAGCCGCCAGCGCCTCCCCTCGCGGCAGCTGGCAAACAGTCACTTTGTGGGTCCCCGATGGCTGGGCCATCTGGCTCGGCCCTTCCCCAGGCGGCGTCGTCGGGGTCGGATTCGCGCACGTCGACGTCGACGTCGACGTCGGGGTCCCCCTCACGAGCGGAGCGCCCCTCGCGCCCCCCTCAGCAGGCGCAACCGGCCGTGCACTCCACCCGAGGGGAGCGCCACTCGCGCCCTCCTCTGCAGGTGGAGTCGCCCAGGCCCCA